AGAGAGAGAGAGAGAGAGAGAGAGAGAGAGAGAGAGAGAGAGAGAGAGAGAGAGAGAGAGAGAGAGAGAGAGAGAGAGAGAGAGAGAGTAGCTGTTTGCACCTCACCTGCTATCATGCACTTGCACACAGGACATCTTCTTTTTCCCCGTAGAGAACTGCTCTGCACAGGCGGCTCCTTTTGAACAGAGTTTGGCGCTTTTGGCAGTGAAACTATGTTGGTAGCCACTGCTAGGGCATCAGCCATCGCAGCACATGTCATCATTGCAGCTGAGCTTGGTTGACCAGAGGGAAGGGATTCAAGATTCTGCAGAGGGAACGAAATGCAGTTCCAGATGCACCTTTAGTCAGTCTCTCTCTCTCTCTCTCTCTCTCTCTCTCTCTCTCTCTCTCTCTCTCTCTCTCTCTTCCTGGAGAGAAATCCAGTAGGAAAGTGACAAGGGCGCCGAAAATCGCCCTCTGCGAGTCGCACTGTGGTCCAGGCTTTCAAAGTTTCACTCAGAGGTCATCAAATAAGTGTAATACCAAGGACAATTATCAGTTGACGGCAACTTTATCTTTATGCTCCAACTCTCTTCCCATTTCTCTCCACCCAAACTGCAGGCATTATATTTAGAGGTTGTAGGACTGTAGCATATTTGAGAGCATCGAAGTGTAGAACCTGCACAGTTCGACTTTATGAGTGCATCGTGTTGAGAGCCGTGACCTGAGGAGGGGCTAGAACACAAATAAACTTATCCTCTGCATTGAGGGAGGATGGACAGTAGGGCGTGTGCAGTTGCAAAAGGGAACTTGACAAATGAAGGAGTCGAGCCAGAAGCATAAGACTGAAGCAAGAGCAAGAACAAACTCTCCAATGAATCCCTGTTAATAGTTAACAGGGAGAAAGCACTCTTCAAGGTAAGTTGCTATTCTTTGTCTTATACTAGTGACTATTCTCTTAACCGGGAGTACTTCTCAAACAAGGGAGAGGTGAAAACAGTTAGTGGAGAGCTCTCACACTTTGTTCTTGCTTTGATGTATCACTGCCAGAGGTTGGCAGCCTAGTGTCTTGATGGTCATGAGCGATCCCCACACGATTGGGAGGGGAGTGTGCTGCAGCATCTGCTGTTCTCTCCTCTGCATCTCCTAACTTTGTTGTGACGTCGCCACCTACCAAGCGTTGTCCTTCTCTAACACCTCCTACATCATGCGCTCTCCCACTGTTGTTCCCCCGTCTCTCAGGGACAAATTCATCATTGTCATCACGGCGAGGATTTCCATTCGCATCACATCTTTCTTCTCCTCCTCCTCCTCCTCCTCCCCCTCCTCCTCCTCCACCTCTTTCTCCTCCTCCACCTCCTCTTCTCCCACCACCCGCAGACGATACGCCTGCGCTGGTCTTCACCGATACCTGATAGATTTCTCTTCCTCTACAAGTGTTGTTCTCCCTCTGCTGTGCTCCATTGCTGGTAAGTGACGCCGCCTCATCGTGGTGATCCACTCCTTGGCTTTCCTTATCCCCCCTCTCAATCTGCTCAGTTTGCGAACTTTGCGCCTTCTCTCTCATTCGTGGCTGTTCAGCAGAGGCATAAAGCATGCTTGCACTCCCAGCCTCTCTCATGGCTTCTACACCTTCTCTGCCAGGAGGCCATGACCAAGCCTAGTCTCAGAACCCAACCCCCCCCCTCCCCCCTCCCCCCCCAACACACACACACACACCCACACACTCACACTCACACTCACACGTGCGGGGC